CCCCAAAACCCCAAAACCCCAAAACCCCAAAACCCCAAAATTCTAATTAAAAATTGAAACAAATGAGAAATAGAAGAAAGCGCAGGTGCTGACCTTGGTCTAGTACTAATGATGCTGATATTCATCCAGAGTCTGAGGAAAGAAAACTCGAGCAAAATCAAAGAAACCTTAGAGACGATGAAGCTTTTGCAAGACAGTTACAAATGATGGAAAGAGAAAATGAAAGTGATGGAGAAATTAACATTCTTAACATTGATTCTCAGTATAAATAAAGAAGACATTCAATATATGGACTTTACTCCTGAATCAGAAGAAGATCAGATAACTTATAAATACAATTGTCCTGTCTGACTTAGATACTTTGATAAAATCTTAGCAGGAAAATGCTGAGGGAACTACCTTTGTCATTTATGCATCGATGATTTCATCAAAATGGCTGATCGGAACAAACATTATAAAATGAAGTGCCCAATGTGAAACCACGAAGAGCTTGACCTTCAGGATGCTGACCCAGAGGATGAAGTAAAGAGATATGGAAATACATTCATAAATACCAATCAATTAAAAGAAACTTTGAAGGAGGTCGGAGATAATGAAGATAAAAATTTCCTTAATAAAGTTGACCAGTTTCTCGAAAAGATTCAATTGAAGCAAGCGTCAAGTGCCAATAATTTTCACCCAAACAAGTTAGAAGCCAGAGGTAAATGGTAACACATAATATCTACAGCAGATTCAAGAGAAAATAGCGAACATTTGGATCACTCACCTGAAAATAAAGTAATACTAACTGCTAACTAACAGAGTAAAACTCTGATTGTGCAAGATAAAGAGAACGTTGATAGACTGGGTGTTAATATGCTCACCTCTCAGAACAAAATAGAACCATCCAATGATAGTCTCAATTACAGAGATGACATAGAGTAATTACCCAACCACTAACCTAAATTAGAGAGCAAAAAGGTTCGGATAAAATGTCTCCTCAGGAAGAATTACATTCAGCAAACGACGATAATTCTATAAATTCGAGGGATTTAATAAGTGAGCAACAAAAGAAGCGAATGGAAAAATTTCATGACCAGAATCAAGAAGATGATAGGGCATATATTAATATGAGTGAAAACGCATAATTACCATCTTCAATTAGCATAAAGATTACCGGGGTTTTGGGGTTTTGGGGTTTTGGGGTTTTGGGG